CTTTGCCCCTATGCAGCCGATTGATTCTTGATGATCTACTCGAGCATATCTTTCTCGGCCAATAATAACTCTGCCAGACAACGGAGTATGCGGAGCTCATCAGCTTGATTGCCCTCAACTCGGGCTAGCTCCTATTAGAGTCTTTTGATTTCAGCTCCTCTATCGAGGAGCATCTCTGGTCTATGCGACGTTAGCATAGACATGGAGAAGAAGAGGAAGAAGAAGAAGATAGAGGCAGTGAGAATGGATGAGAATGTCTACTATTTATAGCCTCTTTCAAATCCTAACTCCTGAGAAAATTACATCTTTTGAGATTTAATTGGACCGGACAAAGAGGCTAAAACGTAGCCTAAAACTCGGTTAAATCTATAGTGGGTCTCACGGGATCTTCAATCAAAAGATCTTAGCCAAAAATCATGGCACAAATCAAGAGGTGAATCCCAACAAACTTTGCCAGCCAACGAACACCGCCAGATGATGAACTCCCCCAGCACAGCTCAAAATAACTTGAGCCTCGCCAACTAGCAAGCATCGTCGGAATGATGAACTTCGCCAACATAGCTCAAAACAAATTGAGTTTCACTAGCTAGCGAACGTCACTAATTGATGAACTCTACTCAGCAGCCCAAAATGGGGTGACCTTCGCTCATACCAAAGAATCAGTCGAAATTTTACTGATTTCTCAACATCGCCCCAACAACAAAAAAATGGTAAATTTCATTCCAAGCATGGATTTGGATGAATACAATCATCATTGATCCTTCGATACAAGTCTGCAATAAGGAAAGCTACATTCAACACCATACATCTAGCAACCAAGTAGGCGGATGAATACTAATTTTCACCTAATCAAGACAACTCAAGTCACGTTCAACACTACACCTCTGGATATCTATCCAAAGCATTTCAAATCCTAGTTGTAAATGCAGGATTTTGAAAACTTTTGGGGGGTCGTGTAGATGGTCAAAATATATTTTCACTAAGGATCCAAGAAGTGAACGCCCACAGGGCTAAACACTTCGAATGGGCCCGAAGTCAAGCCCACAACAACCTGCGGTGAAAGTCACTTGACAATTGAAGTGAACCTTACCAGACAGCCCACATCGACTCAACCAACCAAGTCAGACGCGAGCCGACCTTTGCAACACGCCTTAGATCAAGTCGAAAGATGTCATCAGCTGATCAAATCACGAGTCAAATTTTGTGCTAAATTTGAACTCGTAGATAAAGTTTGCCAATTAATGAACTTCGCCCATATAGACCAAGTCATCCACTGTCGAAGAAGGCGCACCCATGTCTGAAGCAAACTTCGCCTATAGCTTCAGTGAACTTCGCCAAGTCCGCGAAGTTTGCCAAAATAGCCATTTTAAAGCTATTTTTAAGGGATAATGGCATAACCTCTCCCCACTAACTCTTACTTTAATGACTACTTAATCCATAATTAATGGGACCAAACTCTCTTTTTAGCCTATAAAAGGAGAAGAGATCATCCACTTTAGACACATACACAGAGAGGCACACACATGCGTAGAGGTATAAGAGAGGTACTGCTAAGAGAAGACTGAGCTACCTTCTAAGCAATCTAATCCTACGACAGCAAAAGACCCATCATCTTAGTCGACGAGTTAACGGAGTATAAGATCGACACTCCACCGGCACAAGAAAAAGAACCCCAGGAAAAAATAAAATTTTCTTTGTTTCATTAACTTTCTTTCTATTGTAATCTGTGTCAATTACAATACAAAAGAACCCAAAACAGTAGGGTTTTGATTTCTCTATATATATATTCTTCCGTTCTTGGAGGAAAAACAAAAAAAGGAAAGGTGAAAGGTAATATTCTTGTAATCTACGACTAGCAGAGGGTGTAGCCTGATTTAAGAATATTATATGGAAAGCAATAATTTCGTAGTATTTGTTTGTGTAAAAGATCACAACATTGAAAGAGGGTTTTACAGCCTTCGTCCATTCAAAAGATTGTAAAGAGTGGATTTTAGAGAGATTATGGAAGTTGATTATGTATGTAAGGTTGAGAGATTGATATACGAGAGTTGTGTAGTTCCTCTTGTAGTTCTCCCTGATACATAGTGGATTTCTCGTATTGTTGCTCCGTGGATATATGTGGAAGTTGGTCGATCGAACCACGTAAATCTTGGTGTTCTTTCTTCATGACTGTGGTTATTTTCTATTTTGTTAATTGTGGGTTGGCTTCCGAGTTGCGGAGATTGTCGTGCGCCGAGAGACTAAAATCCCCAACACTAAGTAGCAGAAAAAGAATCGACCTTAAAGCCTCTGCCTTTAGCAAAATCAGTAACTTCACAAAGTTACTTAATTTCTCCCCCAAATTAGTGTCGCTCTAGCCATTGTTGAGATTTTTCATCATCTATCAACTAAAATTGATCATTGTCATCTGAAATTAGGGGGTCAAATGATTTTTTTCTATGTGATCTATGGAGACTTCAAGAGGGAGAAAGGGAAAAATGAGAGGAAGACGGTAAGGAGAACCATAGGGCGTTTTCCCCAATAAGTTCTCACCGATCTCGAAAAGCTGAAACGGGATAATATATTATTCTTTATTAATTCATTTCTCACCCATCTCGGTCACTTCGGTGTCTAAAATAGGTTTTCCTCAAAATTTAATCTCTGAGATCAATTTCCTTAATACCTTCAACAAACCAAACACCGGAAAAGAAAATTGAGTGAAATCAAAATATGACGTGGAGCTCTTGTCATGTCCTAAAAACTCTAAGGGGGTGTTTGTTTTGTTTTGTTTTTTGGGATATAGGGTGGATTTCAAGTTTTGGGATGTAAAAAGTGCTCTTTTTGAGTTTTGGGATTCCATAAACTTTGTTTGTTTCAAAATTAATTTTGGGATATTGAATCCCTAAATTATAAACAAATAATATATTTTTAGGATTTGTGAAATCCTCTCTTTTGTTTTGTCCTTTTTTGGGGATATAAGGTGGATTACAAGTTTTTTGGGTTTTAGAATTCCATAAACCATGTTTGTTTCACAACCAATTTTGGGATATTGAATCCCCAAATAATAAAAAACTATTATATTTTAGAATTTGTGAAATTCTACAATTGAGAGAGGATGTAGGTTGGATATTGATGTATTAATGCTAATAATATAAGATTAATATAAGATTAATATATTATATATAATATTATAATAATATAATATTTAATATAATACATCTATTCCTCTATAATAATAGGAGGACCCAAGAATCACTGTTCATGCTATAGTAAATGTTACAGTAAATTACTGTAGCATTATATATATATATATTACATATATATTATATATATTACATATATATAATATATATTATTTATAATATGTAATATATTATATATATAATATATGATATATGATATAATATATATAATTACATATTTTTTATATAATAATAATATATATAAATAATATATTATATTATATATATATTATATATAATAATAATATTATATATATAATATATAAATATATATAGGAGGACACAATAATCACTTCATGGCTGTAGTAAAAGTACACGTAGCATTATATATATATAATCACTGTTCATGCTGTTGTAAATATTGCAGTAAATTACTGAGCAATTAATATATTATATAAAATATTATATGATATATATAATAATATATATATATATATATATATATATATATATATATATATATATATATATATATATATATATAATATAATATAATATATATATAATATATATATATATATATATATATATATATATATATATATATATATATATATATATATATAATATCTAAATATATAATTATATATAATATATAATATATATCATATATATTGATGTTATATATATAATATATTATATATTATATTATTTTATATGTATAATATAATATATAATATACATAATTATAATATATATATATAATAATATATATATATATATAATATTATATATATATAGGAGGACCCAAGAATCACTGTTCATGCTGTAGTAAATATTACAGTAAATTACTGTAGCAATTTATATAATATTATATATAATATTATATATGTATTATATATTATATATATATAATATAATATATATTTATATATAATATATAATATATTAATATTATATATTTAATATTATATATATATTATATATATATATATATATATATATATATATACATATATATATATATATATATATATATATATATATATATATAATATAATATATATATAATATATAATATTATATATATAATATATAATATATATAGAAGGACCCAATAATCACTGTTCATGCTGTAGTATTCCAAATATATATATATATATTATACATTATATAATATATGTTATTAAAATATTATATAATATTATAATATATAATTTATAGTATTCCAAATCCCAAAATATTGATGAAACAAACAAAATATTATAAATTATAGTATTCCAAATCCCAAAATATTGATGAAACAAACAAAATATTACAAATTTTGGTATTCCAAATCCCAAAATATTGATGAAACAAACAAAATTTTAGAGATCCCAAAACATGTAAAAAATTTTATGGATTTCAAATTCTATGGTGAAATCCATATCCATAAATTTTGGGATACAAAACAAACACCCCCTAATAGTCTATTTTACTCTTTATGATACGTTATTTTTCGAATTTAATGCTCGAATTCACCTACCTCAGTGGTCGCATCCATGCATGGGTTAGGAGTGGGTGTGGCCAAATCCGGGTGCAAACTAAAAGATCCACAGACGGGCCCCGTGCGGCGCGTTTTATCCCGCCCAAATCCCCAAATTCAAACCAAAAAGCGGGCCCCACCCCCATCTCCTCGGCTCCCTTTCCTCTTTTTTATATACATCTACCCGTTGTTATTCTTGCACAATCAAACACAAAAAATAAAGAAAAATCCCGAAACTTCTGTCAATGGAGACGACAATTAAGAGC